CAGCGTGGCCCCGTCAAGGTCAGGGCTGAGCACGCTTTGGAATTGGAGGCTCCCAGGCTGCAGTGGCCCTGTGACCTGCGGTCCGTCTCCAGGCCTTTGCCCGGACCGTCTCCTGGCCTGGACTGTGCCCCCAGCAGGTGGGCAGAGGCAGCTTCAAGGCCGGTGCCCCGCGTGAGCACCGGGCCCTAAGGTGGCAGCAGAGCTGTGTACCGGGCGGACCGTGTTTATTGAGGGCAGCAGCTCCCGGTGCAACCACGCTCTGCCAAGCCCGCTGCCTGCCGGGCGCTTGGTGGCTAATTAGCCAGCTTCCTCCCGGCGCCCCAGGAGAGAGGGCGGGCTGTGCACACTGGCTCCCAGGGGGCACCGGGCAGGTGGTGGGCAGGGCCTGCGGCCACAGACACCTACAGTAGCTGCTTCTCAGATGCCGCACAAAACCCCAGGTGGGCCCAGGTTCCCCCCACCACTGCCTTTAACCTGGGAACTGCTCTCCTCCCGCTTACAATGGTTTCACTGCAAACTGGAGGCAGTCCCGGGGTGCCTGCCTGCGTATGAGTCTCTGGTCTCCCCAACAGCCAGCGGAGACCCCACAGAGTGGAGAACCTGCCCATCAGCACAGGTTTCCCCATCTGCGCAGGGCCCCTGCAGGCCACAGCCCCCGTGTGTGTGTGTGTGTGTGTGTGTGTGTGTGTGTGTCTTAGGTGGTTCGTCACACCTCACACGTGCTGTGCTGGTCTTAGGCCCTGGAGGTTGTCGGGCGCCGGGGGCCAGAGGCCAGACAGGGCACGGAGGCCTGTGCTTTGGCCATAGGGCGTGTCGGCTTCGTGTCCGGCTAGTGTGTTATCCTCCGTGAACCTTGGTGACATCCCCCACCTCGTGTCCACAGTGAACACTCACATCCCCCCTCCCTCCTTGCTCATCGTCCTGAACACCAGACCTATAGACACAGCTGTCCCCTGAGCGTGTGTCCCCTAGTTAAGGGTAAGCAAAACTGAGCACATCTTTAGTTCCCACCCTGTGATCCTAGTTCCGAGCTGGGCACCACCAGCCCAAATGCTCCCCACACCTGGGCACCCGCTTGCTCCCTGCTCTATCCCCCTCTTGATCCCCCTCTTGCTCCCTGCTCTGTCCAGGCCCTGCAGGTCCTGCCTCCCAAATGCCTCTTGAATGTACCCAGCCCCACTGTCTCTGTCTGGGTCAGGTCCCCAGCACTCCTCGGCTGGGCCACCTCCTTCTGTCTGGGCCAGTCACCCACACTGAACCCCGCCCCCCATCACGGCTCTGCCAGCTCTTCCCCTCAACTGATTGCAACCTTGGGCAATGGCTGGCCAACCCCAAGCCCAGGAATGACCATCCCTCGGCACCCGCCACGTGGGGCCAGGGGGAGAGTCACGGAGATGACCCTGAAGAGTGTACCCAATGCGGGGACCATGCCTGCCACCATCCCAGCCTGAGGCCAAGGTGCTTATGTGTGGCCCCCGGATTTGGCTCCGCAGGCTCTCCTTCTCCCCAAGAGACAGCCGCCTGGGTGGCCCTCACCTGCCCGGCCTGTGCAGCCCTCTGTGCTGGGCCAGCCCCTTCCAGGCTGCGAGCTCACACAGGCCCTCTCAGTGGCTGGAACAGTGGTCCGGCCTGGCCCCGTCAAAGGCCCCTGTGTGCGCCTCAAACAGGGCATTGATGGGCCGTGGTGAGAGCTGCCCAGCGGATCGCGGGCTGGCTTGGCTTGGCCGGTCCACGAGACTTCCCCAAACCCAGCTATTTCCTGTTCCTTGGGCCAGCCCCCTCCCAGCCGCCTGCCCGCAGGCACAATCCGACCATACATCCAGCCCCCGATCCTTGGCTCCAGGCCAGGGCTGGGGGCGGCAGCATCCCCTCAGCTATTCCTGGGGGCACACAGCCTCGGCCGGCCTCTTGATGAGGATGCGAGGCTGGGGACAAGGCCAGTCCCTTCCTCCTATAACCTCTGCCCCTAGTCCCCACTTGGTGGGGTAATTGGGGGCGGGTCGGGGGGGGGAGGGGGGACTCTTCATATGAATCTGCACAAAGAAGCAAGAGCTCACACAGGCTGGGACCCCAACCCCTCTTAACAGCCTCCATTTGGAGGGAGCGGGGGAAGACACTTGGTCTAATCCCTGACTGCTGTGTGGCCTCAGGAAAGTTACTTGATGCCTCTGGGCCCCAGTGCCTTCCTGTGTGGATGGGAGCTCGCTGTCCATCTCTATCACAGCCTCGCTTTATCCATTGCTTGGTGATCTGATAAAGCGCATTTGAGCCGAAACCGGTTTGGCTCAGTGGTAGAGCGTCGGTCTGCGGACCGAAGGGTCCCAAGTTTGATTCCGGTCAAGGGCATGTACCTGGGTTGTGGGCACATCTCCAGTAGGAGGCGTGCAAGAGGCAGCTGATCGATGACTCTCTCGTCGATGTTTCTAACTCTGTATCTCTCTCCATTCCTCTCTGTGGAAAATCAATAAAATATATTTAAAAAAAAAAAAAAAAAAAAAAAAAGAGCATTTGAAACCCTTGAAGAAACCTGCTGCCCCCAAGGAAAGCTGACAGGCATCTCCAGTCCATCCCCTCCCCTTCTTCCCCAAGGTCACCTTCATCAGCCTCCTATGGGTCCCTGCACTGGGTCTCTTCCTTCCTACAACGCAAACCCAAGCCTGACCCTGGAACCCACTGCCCCAACCCTTCAGAGACTCCCCCGTCCGGGTTAAGCCCACACTTCCGGGTGTGACGTTCAAGGCTCTGTTAGGCCTCTGGACACCAGTGGGGGAGCCCAACTCACACCGCTTTGGGCTCCCTGCCGACGGCACGCTCAGGCAGGCCCGCAGCGGCTCGGCCGGTAGGAAGAAGGCAAGAGGTGGGGAGAGAGAAAGCATCAGTGAAGAGTTCGAATCCCAGGTCCAACCACTCCTAACGCCAGGAGTGCCTGGGCTTCTCCCTTATGTGAACTTGAAGTTCCGTGACCACCTTTTTCTAAAAAATAAACTTAGCTCACTGAGTTCTGTTACCTGCAGCCATCTCCTTCCTATAATGTCCTTCTTGGCTAAGGTCAGACAGGGTGGGCTTGCAGCCAAAGAGCCCTAAAGTCTCCAAGGCTCCTCCTAATCCAGCTGACCCAGGCCCCAAAGGCCAGCAGCCTCGCTCCAGCCCTCCTCACTAGCAGCCAGACTGGACCCCAGCTCCCCTCCCCGCATCTACAGGGGCCATCCGTATCCTGCTGCTTTTGCCTAGAACATCCTGCCCCACTTTGCTCACTGCTGCCCGCTCATTCTTCACTCAGCTTGGTGACACTTCCTCCAGGAAGCCTTCTCTGACTGCCTGACGCCCCTCAGACTTTCCCCGTCATGATGTTGGTTGTTCCTCGAGTGATTATTGTTAGTTATGGGTCTGTCGTCATCCACCCTATACTGTGGGTAACGGGAGGCAAGTCTGACCCATCGCAACACCCACCCCCGTGAGCATCTGGATTGGGGTGGGTGCTCTCCAGGTGAGTGGAGTTCCCACCTTACCTGGGAGACATCATGGTGTGTACATGGCCCGTGATTTGTAATCAGAAACAGTGCCACATCGTGGCACTCCCCAGCTGGCCATGCTGCCCTGGGAGTCTCTGGAACAAACAGGGTGTGTGTGTGTGTGTGTGTGTGTGTGTGTGTGTGTTGAGGGTGATGGAGCCCCGCCTATTCCATCTGTGAGGAAACACATCAGCCTAAGAGAAGCATGTTGCTGCTTTATCTCTGTCACACACAGAGCCATTTGGTGAGGTGTTGGCACAGAGCCCTCTCCTTCTGTACCCCCCACCACACCCGAGAGCCTGCCCCTATGGCCCTATCTCCACCTTTGAGTCAGCTCCCTCGTGAACCCCCGTCCTCAGGGAAGCAAGCAAAAGAAGGGGTGTTGAGGCCAAAACCCTCCGTACAGCCCCACCAACCCCAGACCCCAGGGCACGGTCTGCACCCACAAGGGTTTGCCTGTTTTGACTGAACCAACCTGTGGATTTAGTCCAACAAATGGATTTGCCTGATTTCAAGGCTGAATTTCTGCTTGACCACAAGCATCGGGCAGCACCGGGTCACTTACAAACAAACTGGCGTTGGAGAGACTGAGCTGAGGAATGGACTGGTTGGTGGCTGGTTACTAGAGGTGACCGTGGTCAAGGCGACCCATTTCATGGAGTCCACGGCTGTGTGATTGCCTTGACCACACATGACTGTTCCAGCCACGTGTGACTGAGCGTTGACGGTGACAACTCTTAAGCAAAACAATGTGTGTTCAAAGTGACTGCTATTCCCTGGAACTAGCTATTGAGTGATGGTTTGGCAACTGCCTGGATTTTCATTTGAATTAACCATTATTCAGCCACTCGGAAGTACTGAATTGGCCAGTGTGGGCAGCCAGTTACTGGATCGGATTGAATTATCTGACATCTTCTTATTGAAGTTATTCCCTATTCTAAATTGGCTGGGTTGGCTGACTCGATCATTATGTAAGCAAGCTATTTGAAGACATTGAACATATGGATTTGGCAGGGGGAGGGACTCATTGATGATTACTTCAGGAAATTGCTGTGTGAACTGACAGCTACTTACAAAATCAGCGCGACGGACTGTTGTTGTTTGAGCAAATTATTTTACTGAACTGACAAGTTTTTTAATTTGTCAGCCACTTGGTTATGCTGGCCAAGCTGAAAGTTATGGAACCAAACTCAATGAATTGAGAATGACCAATTGTTTAAATAAACATCAAAGCTGATCAAAATAAGCCACGTGTTGTTAGAGCGAATCTTCGAGAGACCCAAGGCGTCCGTTAGCCTAAAGGGTTGACCCAGCGGTGAGCGTCTCCCGGGCCCCATGGGAAAAGCAGGCCAGCGAGGGGTACACAAGCGGATTGTCCTGAAGTCGGCTGGGTGGCTCTCCCGGGCCACCGGGGCTGCCAAAGCGAAGAAGAAATGCTTTGTGAGGCAGCCCCGCCCTTCCTGGCACCCGGACGGGGGCCTGGCGCCATCAGACCTCGGAGTACGGGGGAGGCGCTGGGTCCCCCTCCGGCGTCTTGGATGGCAGAGACACGGCTTCCTCGTAGGACGGCAGGACCACCTGGGAGGGACAGAGATGAGGGCTGAGGACTGGCCAGAAGGAACCACCCCTCTGACAGAAGGATGCCATAGCTGGCACACCTTGTGTACCTACTAGGTGCCGGGCATGGCGTGCACCACACAGGTGCAGTTTCTGCTCCTGTCGTAAACAGGCTTGTCTCTGCATCAAGCCCCCTCTGCGTGTCTGACAACAACACACATTTTCCCTGAGAAAACATTCTCCATCCATCTGCTTCCAGAAGAATCGGTCCCATCCCTCAGATAGAGGGGGTAGACAGATGATCTGGACAGGGCCCCTCAGAGTAGAATCTGGCTAGCTATAGTCATTGGTTTGGGCATAGGCTGGTGACCCAACCGGGTCCAATTGAACCTGCTTCGGGGACTTCCTTTCTGCTGGGGCTGCTGAAAGGGTGGGATGTCAGCCCTTGGATGTCAGTCACTGCAGCAGCGACTTTGCCACCATGAGGAAAGGGCCGCCTCAAATGGAGCCCCCACTGAGGAAAAGAGGTTCAAACGATGGAAAGGTTGACATTGAAATTGGGTCTCAAAAGAACTGCTGGCCCAGAAAGAAGCTCACTACAGACTGATTCATATGCCTTTCAGCACAACGATTATTGCTTGTCTCATTTTTGATTCTGATAAGTATATTTCCAGTAGGACATGATCTCACTCATCTAGGGGAAATAGTGAACAACATAGACTGATGAACAAGAACAGACCCAGAGATAAGGAGCCATGGGTCAGACTGTTGGATCTCAAAGGGAGGGTGGAGATAAAAGGCAGAGATCAACCAAAGGATTATGTGCACACACATGAGCCTAACCAGTGGTCAAGGACAATAGGGGGGTGGGGGCATGAGTGAGGGGGATGGTGGATTGGAATGGGGATTGAGGACAAATATGTGATACCTTAACCTTTTAAATTAAAGGAATTAATTTAAAAAATAAAAATAAATTAAATTAAATAGCCCAAAACAAAAAAACAAACAAACAAACAAACAAACAAAAAACCGGAAAGGATGAGGTTGCATCTGGATGTTGGGACTCAGCCAGGACTTTCCAGTTCTGTGAACCAATACAGTTTTCTTTTTTAAGCTGGATTATGTTGGCTTCCTGCCACTTGCAACAAAAAAGCCATGACGAATACAATGCCCGTCTCACAGATGAGGACAGCGAGCCACAAGCCATTTAGACCAGCTGCCCTTCTCCCATCCCTTCTCCCACCAGCTGTTGTAAGGGCACCTTTCCCAGCTAGCCTGGATCAGCGGACAGTGTAAGACTTGGTCAATGCCACCTCCTCCAGGAAGCTTCCCTGACACCCCAAAGAGACCAGCCCCCTCCTCTGCTCCCATCGCCCCCGCACAGCCCCCTGTAACCAGATCTCTGTGTCTGGGTTCGCTCTGGACTGTACCCTCCTCTAGAACGGGGTGGCATCTTCGTTTTTCTTATAGCCCCAGGGTTGTATATGAGGCCAAGGAAGAGTGAGGGGCAAGGAGTACTGGGTGCATGCCTGCACGAAAGAACCCTAGATTATCAGAGATCTTTGGAGTTTGTCTGGTCCAGCCCTCCTCTTACAAGTGGAGAAACTGAGGCACGGCCAAGGAGAGAGACCTCCCCAAATAACATAGTGAGGGGCAGACCCAATGCTCCCCGAAACCCCCCAGCCTCACCTTCGGCAGCATCTTGCAGCTGCTCTTGTCCTCGGCCGAGTTTATGCACTTGATGAGCCGGTAGCATCTCCACACGCACTTGAACATGTAGACCTAGAAAAGGCCCCGGTCAGGCTGAGCGATGCTGACCCTCCTCGCTGCCCCCGCAGCCCTGAGATAGGTGCCAGGCTTCCTGGGAAGACCCAGCTCACCCCGGGAAGGCAGCATCCTGCTGCTGCTGCTCAGACCCCTCTTCTGGTTGAAGGGGGGCCTCACCTGCCAGTCCTAAGTGCTCCAGGCATCCCCCTGGTTATTACCCCACAGACTCAGCACAGAAAGGGGCTTTTGGAAGCTGCTGAGCCACCCTCAAGCCCCTGCCAATAGTCCTGCAGACCCCACTGTTCACCCGGGGGCCTGGGAGCTCACTTGTTCACCCCTAGGGCCTCCATCCTCCTGTTTGTCACCATCTCTCTAGGGACTGGGACCTGAACTGGACTTTGTCCTCTGAATCTGACCACTCCAGAGAAGAATAAGACAACTCTGCGGACTGAAAGGTCCCAGGTTTGATTCCGGTCAAGGGCATGTATATTGGTTGCGGGCCATCCCCAGTAGGGGTGTGCAAGAGGCAGCTGGTCGATGTTTCTCTCTCATCAACGTTTCTAGCTCTCTAGCTCTCTCCCTTCCTCTCTGTAAAAAATCAATAAAATATATTTTTTTTAAAAGAATGACATCTTCCCTCCTCCCGCCTCCAAACAGTCCCCCCACCTCCCCGCCCCTCCGAGAGCCATGGAGCAGGCACCGCTCACCTTCAGGATGAGGACGGCGATGAAGGCGACGGAGAAGATGATCATCATCTTGACGAACTGGTTATAAGCCATCTCCTTCTGGCTGGGCAGGTAATTCTGCAACAGATTTGGGGGCCATGTCAGTGCCTCTGGCTACATATAGAAGAACAACATACCTGCTCGCCGCACACGCGGGAACACGCATGGCACAGCCACTACCCTGGCTGATCCTGCAGGGGCCCCGGGCGGCAGGTGCTGCTTACCATCAGCCCCAGGTGACGGGGGAGCAAACCAAGAGAAGCAGCTGCAGCCCCTGCCGGCCCGATTGCCCTCACCTGACGGGGTCCCCACCCCTGCTGGCGGTGGGCATGCCCTCTTTGGAGCAGGCTTGGCTGATAGAACCACCGGATCCTGCACACTTGGGAGGGCCCTCCCCCAGGGGCAGCCCACAGCAGAGCTAAGGGGGGCCAGGTCTCTGCTCACAGCAGGATAGCCTCTGTATACAGCGAGCATGTCAAGCCCGCGGCCCACAACGAGTATTTTCGCAGCCCAGCCAATATAACGGCATGTAAGAAATGTTTTAATAAAAATTCCATAGCTTAATTTTTACAACATCCTGTTATACATAATTATTAATAACCAACTACAACGTTCGCTCGTGACTGATTGCTGTAATCGTGCTGCATTCATGTCCCTTCCTCTCCGATCAGGAGCGCCATTTCTCTCCATTAACACTAGGGTGAATATTTTAGCAGCCGATGGCCACGTCGTTAGTCTTGTACTGACTTGTTTGGTGCGCGCAACAGGAAATATTTCGCTTTCGGAGAACAAGAAAAATAGGTCTAGTTGCGTTACGCTTATTAATTTGTGCCATTATTCAGTGTTTGGTAAGTTAATGTCCAAGAAAAAAAATATTAATTTTTATTAAAATGTTCTATTGTTTTGCCCTAGCTGGTTTGGCTCAGTGGATAGAGCATTGGCCTGTGGACTGAGGGTCCCAGGTTCAATACCGGTCAAGGGCATATGCCTGGGTTGCGGGCTTGATCCCCCAGTAGGGGGTGTGCAGGAGGCAGCCGATCAATGATTCTCTCTCATCATGGATGTTTCTATCTCTCTCTCCCTCTCCTTTCCTTTCTGAAATCAATAAAAATATATTTTTTGAATGTTCTATTGTTTTCTGTTGATGACGATGACTCATTTATTTCAGCCCTTTGTGTTCAGCAGGTTTCCATCGAAATAAACCTACGTTTCTTTGGAAATTGAAGCCTTTGTTTTTCTGCGGCCCACACAAACTTACACCTTGCTCATTTGACCCCGTTAGCCTTTGAGTTTGACATGCCTGCTCTCTGGCATGTGCACACATGTGCACACATTCATTGACACTCCCCCCCTTCAAAACCAAGGAGGAAGACAGATCACAGTTAGCCCCCAACCAGAGCTCACTTCCCTGCCCCTGGGGCTTCAGGTCTCTTGGATAACAGAGGCGGCGGAGGTGAGGGTGACCTCGGAGACAGCATTTTCTCCTGGCTCCGCCCCTCAGACACTCACGGGGGAGAGGGAGCCAGCAGCCGTGCCATGAGGATGCTCAAGCGCCTCATCCAAGGTACAGGGCTGCGGGATGGAGGCAGAGGGCTGATAGACCCATGGGTAAGCCATCTTTGGGGGGGTCCTTCGGACCTAGCCAAGCCCTCATCGTCCGCAGCCCCACCCCATCTCGGCTGGGACCTCGTGAGAGAGACAGACTCTGAATCTGAATCACCCCACTAAGCCGCTCCCAAAATCCTGATCTCCAGCCGCTGTGTGAGACAACGAGTACTGTTGCTTTAAGTCCCTGTTTGGGGAGAATTGGTCAGGCCATAATAAAAAGATAGTGTAACCTCTGTGGTGCAGTTCACAAGGCAGGGCTCCCTCTGGGATGGGGCAGGGCTACTCCTAAAGCCCCGTGTCTGCCTGGCTGCTTCCCTGTGTCTCACCTGCCTCCCTCCCTGTTTTCTAGATTCTTCCTGAGCGCTGCCCCTCCATAAACCACTCATAAAAGAATCCTCCTCCCACGCTCCCCTCCGGCCCAGCATAAGCACAGAGGCACAGAGAGGGGAAGCAGCGTGCTCAAGGCCACACAGCCGGCGACCCGAGTGGGCCCCGGGCCCAGACTCACCATGTGGTTCATGGAGTTGAAGTTGAGATAGGTGGGCACTTCCATGTAGGAGCTGCAGAGGGTCAGGATGCTCAGGCAGAAGTCCAGCAGCTGCAGGGTTAACACCGGGACCTTGGAGGAGTGCTGAGGGGGACAGAGACAAGGAGGAAGACAGATCACAGTTAGCCCCCAACCAGAGGCCCTGGACCATGGGGCAGGTGGAGGGCCCTCAGCCTGAGAGGCTGTCTCGGCTACAGCGTCCAGCAGCCCTCCAGTCCCCTGTGCCCAGAAAGAAATGGGTGCCCCTGGCTCAGAGTTTGTGCCAAGGGTGGGTGGCAGACGCTGGGACCAGAGCCAGGGTCCTGACCCCCTTTCCAGGCCCTTCCACAGTCCAGCTTCCCGGTGTTGGGGGGGGAAATGTGGAAAGCGTGGCTTTAACCGTCTTCCTCTCTCTTCATTTTTTTTTAAATAAATCTTTATTGTTCAGATTATTACAAATATTTCTCCTCTCCCCCCACCTCATAGCTCCCTTCCACCTGGTCCCCACTTCACCCTCTGCCCTTACCTCCCCCCACTGTCCTCATCCATAGGTGTATGATTTTTGTCCAGTCTCTTCCCGTACCCCCCACACAGACACCCCTTTCCCCCTGAGAATTATCAGTCCCCTCCCATTCTATGCCCCTGGTTCTATTATATTCACCAGTTTATCCTGTTCCTCCAATTTTTAATTCACTTGACTTTTAGATTCACTTGTTGATAGATATGTATTTGTTGTTCATAATTTTTGTCTTTACTTTTTTCTTATTTTTCCTCTTTTTAAAGAACACATTTTAGCATTTCATATAATCCTGGTTTGGTGGTGATGTACTCCTTTAGTTTTTTCTGATCTGTGAAGCTTTTTATCTGCCCTTCGATTCTGAAGGATAGCTTTGCTGCCTCGTCCCTCCTCAGTTACGAGGAGGGACGAGGCAGAGCGGGCTGAAGGGGGGCCCACGCCCTTCCCCCTGGCTGTGGGCTCACGCTGTGGGCATGGGCTGAGTGCTCCCCATGTGTGAGCACCTCTGCACCCCGTCCTCAGTCAGTGCTGCCAGGGCGCAGTGAGCAGCTGAGACTCCCAGGTCCTTTTCCCAGAACAAGGAACTCTGGGACACTTTACCCAGGGACTTGCTGAAGGTCACCAGCTAGGAAGGGACTCCGGGGGCTCCCTGGCTCTGCCTCAGCCCTTCCCCCCACCCCCAGGCTGGGTGGGCCGAGGTGAGGGCTGGGTACTCACAGCCCGGCTCCGGGAAGCAAACTTGAGATAGGCAGGCAGCTCCACGTAGGAGCCCAGCAAGGTGAACAGGCACAGCAGGTAGTCCATGATTTGCAGGGACATGAAGGGCAGCAGGTACTTCTCCCGGTTCTGAAAAGCAGGCCCGGCGCAGTCAGGGCGTCTCTGGCACACGTCCCCGTGACCCCACTCACCGGCAGCTCCCACTCACCAGCCCACTCTCCCATCCCACGTGACTCCTCATGCCGTCCCCTGGGTGACGCTATGAAGATGGGGACAAGGCAAGACCCTGGCCCTGAATGCAAGGAGCCCTGGTATCCGGGAGACACAGAACAGTCCCCATCTACAGAGGGAAGAGCTCCAGAGCCTTGAGGAGCAGGTTCAACAAAATTCCCTTTCAGGAACTCCACCAGGATGGGCCATTTTACAGACGAGAAGGGGTCAGAGAGGACTTCCTGGAGGTGGAGGCACCGGGTCGACGTGGAAGGATGGGAAGGGGGAGGGTAGTGGAGGCAGATGAGCCAGCAGTGAGCTCCCTCTCTTTCAACAAAAAGCAGTGACCTCTGTGGGGCTGGACTGCCTCGGAAGCCACAGGTGGGACCAGATCACAGAAAGGGTGGTTTTTTGGTTTCTCAGGTGGTTGTCTAAAACCACTCAGGACGTGGCCCAAACGACCCAGGCTGGTCTCAGAGCCTCCGGGGATGGCCCGGGTCCTTTTGATCGCTGGGCCCTTTGCGTTTCTGCCTAAGCACCGGGGCGCCGCCCTGAACAAGGGGGAACCCGTCCCTCGGGTGCAGGGCTGGGAGCTGGCACTAGACAGGGGGCGAGGGTGACATTGCATGCAAGGTGGAAGCATTCCAACCTGGCACCATACCCGGGGCTCCCTGTCCCGGCCCTGAGGGCGCCAGGCCGCTGTCTGCCCGGGAAGGCCCTGCTTCCTGTCCTGGCTTCCGCCTCCCTGGGACCGAGGGACAGTGGTTCCTCTTTGCAGGAGGCTGAGCCACAGCCCCGTGGTCTCCTCTGCTCACCGACGAACTGAGCTGGCCGCGTCTACACTGGCTCCTCTGCCTTGGCTCCTCTCAGGGTTACACAGCGAGCAGGCTGCATCCTCCCCGCTCCTCACTCCTCCAAACTGCTCTTCTTCCACCCCAACGCCCTGCCTCCATTTGCATTATAAAAGGATGTGGGTCACCAGGGATGATGTCTAGGGTATAGGTGGGGTCTCCCAAAATGCCCACCGTCTCAGCAGCCAGTTCTGCCCACTCACTGGGTGTGACTAGGATAAGGGGACCAGACGTCCCGCTTTTGGCGGGACAATCCCGATTTGTAACAATTTGTCCCGCGTCTTACGGCGTTTTAAAAATATTACAATACTATCTTTGCGTTCTATGAAAATTTTTGTTGCTCCATCTAGACCAAATTTTTAATCAAAAGCCCCCCGGGAGCACCCATCAATGGTGTCCCGCTTTACCAATGTTAAAATCTGGTCACCTTAGACTAGGAGGGGGTAGGAGGGCAACTGGGGCTCCCCAAGTCCTGCCCCTCCCCCCCATGTCTCTTCCCCTCAGGACTCTCACCTTTACCACGCCGACCAGCAGGCTCAGGCTGATGACAAAGAGCATGGTGATGAGCAGGAAGCTGGAGATCAGGTCAGCTGAAAGGCAAGGCGAGCAGTGAGGGACCAGAGGAGCCCAGGGAACCCCGCCGGGGTTCCAAAGGCCACACTTTGGGAACCACTGGTGTGGGAGCCCAGGAAAGAAGGAAACCCAGGCCCTCCCCTCAGTAGTTCTCAGTCTTAAGAGGCTACAGCGATGCAATCATAGCATTTCGGGTGACACAGAATGTATGTATGACACGGGGTCCCGGCTGAGGAGGGGACGGCAGGCTGGGATCTGTTATCAGCAGGGTGAGGACTGGGAAGGCCTCTGGGGGGGCAGCCTGTGAGCTGAGCCACAAGGCACTCAGGCAGGGGCCTGAGACAAGGTGCGGTCAGAGCAGCGGGAGCTCGGGCAGCCAGGACAGCCTGGAGGAAGCCGAGAGGGAGCTTCAAGGACCCCTGTGGCCAGCAGGTCGGCAGGGGCTGCGTCTCACAATTTTATTCTGGCTCAATGGTTTACAGAGCAAGCAGGCTGCATCCTCCCCCCTCCCCCTTGGCGGTGTGGGCAGGGGGGTCCTCCTGTCCCCTTTCTAAGCTGGTTAGGTTTGCAAAGCGCCCTCCCGTCCGCTCCCACACCTGGGCCAGGCGGATGGCATAGGCTCATTGGCAGATGAAAGATCTAAAGCTCAAAGAGGGGAAGTGGCAGAGCCTCAAACCTCACCAGTCTGCCCCCGCCAGGGCCCCCTCCCCTCTCCGTCCCGGCTCCCCTTCTTGTCCCCGGGACCTACCGATCCTGAGGTAGCCCATCTGGGAGACTTTGCAGGAGGCTTTGCCGTGGGCCACCTCCACGGCGTGCTCGATGAACAGCAGGACACTCATGATCTGGGGGCAGAACGGAGCATGCGTCAGCGGGGTCGGCCCCTCCCCCCCCTCCCCAGCCCTCTCCCCCTTGGGGGCCAGCGGGGCCTGGGAGGAGGGTCCAGGAGGAGATGGGAGGGCAGGTCAGTAGGACATCCTGATTAAAGTTCCGCCTGAGCAAGCTCATGATCCGGGTTCTTCCTCTTCCCAGCTGAGTGGCTTGGGCAAGTTAGTGGCCTCCCTGGGCCTCAGTTTCCCCCTCTGGAAAAGGAAGGTACCGGAGCAGCCACCTTAGGAAGCTCTTAGGAGGAGTCAATGAGAACATCCCCCAGAGCCCTCAGACCCGTGTTCCCATTACAGGGGTCACTGGGACTGCTGGAGGGCAGCCTTGGAGAGAAGGTGGGGGCTGAGACTGGGTCTTTTCTAACCGCAGGTGCTGGTCATCAGGGGACCTTGGCCACGGCGTCTGAGCAGGAGAGAGCTTCAAGTTCACGGAATCGTCAGCACAGGCCTGGGAGCATCTGACCCATGAGTCCCTGGGGTGCCCTCCACAACCCGTTCCTTCTGCCCACCTGCCAGGTGAGGACAATGACAATGCCTGCCTCCCAGGCTGCGATGGGACAGAATTCACTCACAGTGCTGGTGGATCTAAGCACTCAGTCTGTTTTCTATCATCATTACGGTTATCCCCATTGGACTACAGGCTTCTGTGTCTCTCCTGTTCACTGCTCTGGCTATTTTATTTGGTGAATAAATGGGTGGATGACTGGATCGATGGATGGATGGATGGATGGATGGATGGGGAGAGAGAGGGAGGGAGGGAGGGAGAAATGGAGGGAGAGAGGGAGGAAGGATAGAGGGAATGAGGGAGGGAGGGAGGAAAGGAGAGATGGATGGATGGATGGATGGATGGATGGATGGAGGGAAGGATGGAGGGATGGACGGAGGAAAGGAAGGAGGGATGGAGGGATGGATGGAAGGACTAATGAACCCCATCCCCTCAGGGGACCCCAGCATTGAATAATGGAGAAGGGGCACATCTGATGGGCATGAGTATTGAGGTGGCCCAAGCCACTGACGAAGTCCAGCCACAAGCCTCAGTTTGAAAGGCCTTGGGGGGCACCTGTCCATGCCCTCCTCCCCCCCTGCAGGGGAAGGTGGAGGGCATGGACAGGTGCCCCCCGAGGCCTGGTCACACAGCCTCTATCCACATGCTTCCAGCCACGGGGACTCGGAATATTCCGTCTGTGTCCTCGAGGAGGCCTCTGCCCTTCCTCCATCACACACCCAATTCTCTGGGCACCCTCCACCCACGCTGAGAACCAGGCTGTCTCCTCCCTCGCAGCGGGTGTCCGACCTCTATTTTAAGTTAGCCTTTTATTTTTTTATTTTTTAATATAGTTTATTGATTTTTTACAGAGAGGAAGGGAGAGGGATAGAGAGCTAGAAACGTCAATGAGAAAGAAACATTGACCAGCTGCCTCTTACACACCCCCTACTGGGGATGTGCCCACAACCCAGGTACATGCCCTTGACCGGAATCGAACCCGGGACCTTTCAGTCCACAGACCGACGCTCTACCACTGAGCCAAACCGGTTTCGGCAATACGGCTTATGTTTAGATGGGCCTCTAGGCAGCCCTGCCCTGGCAGCTCATGCTCAGCTGACAGGCAGCCCGTCCCCGCCATCTGTTTCCCCCTGCAGATGGTGCGGTTATTTTAGCTCCGACACAGGTCTCGGCGGGTCTTCCTGCCACGTTACATCCTGTTCGGTGGGGCAGAAAGGGGCAACACAGAGCAGGAACGCAGGGCCGGACTCCAGAGGGAGGTAGGGGGAGGTGTGAATCCGGGTCGCTGTGTGACCTTGGGCAAGTCACTCTGCCTCTCTGTGTTCTCACCGGCACGTGGCAATCCCCCGATCCAGAAGGAAAACATCAAGTTGTGTTTGCGAAGAACTGAGCCTGGGGCCTGGCAATACGGGGCTCAGCAGCATCACCGGCTTGGGACTCATTTCTGAGGGATGCCTGAGCCAAAGATAAGGTGACCAGATGTCCTGCTTTTGGCGGGACAGTCCAAATTTTAACAATTTGTCCCGCGTCCAGTGGCATTTTAAAAAAGTCCCGATTTTTGGCCAAAAATCAGGACTTTATTAAAACGCAGCGGGACGCGGGACAAATTGTTAAAAAGCGGGACATCTGGTCACCTTAGCCAAAGAGGGCTGGTTGGGCAGTCCCAAGGGCAGGTGCCAGGGACTGGCCGTGAGCTTGTTCTCGCTGTCCCCTCCCGCCTGGGTCACCAAATAGGCTTTGTTTCACCAGGAAAGTGAGAGCAGCCCAGACCGGAAGGCAGACGTGGCGGGCCGCAGCTGGCACCCAAAGAAACTGCCCTGAGGGAGAAACGCTGCTTCCTCAACCCCTCTCCCCCCAGTTTCACCTTCAGTGAAAGAAAGAAAGAGAAAGGGAGGCGGACGACAGCTCCGTCTAGGACCGAACCGGGTTTAGGGCCCTGCGGGGTGAGGTGCCAGCGGGGCTCCCCTGGGAGTGTGCCAGCAGGGCCCAGAGGAGTCACAGCCGGGCCCAGAGAGACCCCTAACTTCTCCACGGAGACGCCCGTCCCCCCTCCAGGTGTCTCCGTGGACAGTTATCTTTTTGAAATCTAGAGAATCCAGGCTCGTCTGCGATCTGGGACGAAGCTCAGAGTCAGAGGATCTCAACCTCCAGTTGTGGGGAAGAGCCTTTGTCCCCTTCTTGTATAAGCTCCCTCTGCTTGTTTTAGGGGCTCAGAGAGGCTCGGTGGCTTGCCCGGGGCACACAGCAAGCTGGGGACAGATGGAACTGAAGTCCAAGTCTTCTGGTGCTGTCCTGGTGCCTTCCCATCAGGCCTCAGTCCTGCCATTGGCGCCCCATCACGCCTCCTGCAGGAAGGGGAGGGACATTTGTGCAACCTGACTCCGCTGTGGGCCCGGTGTGCTACCCACACCATCCCAATGAGCCTCCCACAGCCTGGTGAAGGGCTGTGCTGCATCCTCCCACCCCCATTTCAAAGATGGGGACAGTGAGGCTCAGCGAGGTCCCGGGCTCCCCAGTCTGCAGTCTGTAGGGCCAGGATTCAAACTGAGGCTGAAGACTGTGGTTCTCCCCCGCTCTCCCGGTCCTCCCAGCATCCCCCAGCCTCCTGGCTCTGTGAGGCCTGCTCCCCGCCCCCTCTCGCACGTCAGCACCCCCGTGGAGTCAGAGGGACACCCGTGTCCTCTTCCCTCTGGAGTCCCCTGTCCCGCCTGCAGCTTACGTAAGACGCAGCAGTGAGCACCAGAGTGGGGCGCCCTGTAGCCCCCCATCTTCACCCGTTTCACCTCCTCGGCAGTCCTGTACGGGGAGGAGGTGATTCCGTCCCCTTTAACCAGATGGAAACCCTGAGGCTCTGAAGGGCAGGAGCCAGCCCCAGGTCACAGCCCCAGGCAGCCTCAGGGCCTGACTCAGACCCTCCTCGGACCCCTAACCTCCCACAAAGACACAGGTCCCCAATCCAGGAGAAAGAGGAGACTAGATGGGATGGCGAGGAATCGACATTTAGGGAGCAGCCACGGTGTGCTCGGATCGGTACTCACAGGTCTGCACCACAAACTGCAAACGCTACCAGAAGGGCAGCGTGTTCCCGGTGTTCCCGATGAGGAAGCGGAGGCTCAGAGGAGAGAAATCACATGCTCTGGGGCAGGCGGCCCAGCTGGGATTTGAACCCTGGTACCTGTGCGCCCAGGGCCCAGGGCTCCACCCAGGGCCAAGTGGCTGCTCCGGGGCTCAGCCCCAGGTCCCACCAACTGCCCATCCTTGCCCAGCCCCAGAGACTCAGGGTTCAGGGCATAAGCAGCTAGAGCACTACAGGGGGGAGGGGGAGCGCCCCCACAGCCTCACTGTTGTCCTAGCCTCGACAGGTCCTGGCTCCTCCCTGGCCTGTGTTCCCCTCCTCCTTTCCCCCCACCCCTGTCAACGAGCAGAGTCACCCCGTTTGCACCCAGGCTACTGGGACGATTGAGCACAGAGTCAGAGCAGTGGAACTTCTGCAAATTGTGGTGTATCACACCCAGGCTCCAGCCCCGAGCTGCATCCCGCTCATCCGACCGCCCTCGCTGCTCCACCCAAGCCTGGAACCAAGAGATTTGCCATTTCGGAAAAGTACCTGGCTTACCTTCAGCATCTGCTGGGACAGGCCCGATTCCCCAGGCCCTCTGTTCCACTCACCTCCCTCCAGGCCTGCTACCCTCACCCAGCTTCCACCTGGACACAGCACTGCCCTCTCCCTGAGCACTGAGGGCCGTGACCCACACCCTCCTGGGACGGGGCTTCTCTCCTGCAGAGCCCAGACAGCGTCTTCCCTGTCCCTGGTCCTTAACTCTGCACGGGGAAACCATGCGGTGAAGAGCACGGTGCTAGAGTCAGGTGGTCCTGGGCCTAAGCTGAGCTCTAGCCTCTTAAGTGAACTATTAACCTCTCTGAGCCTCAGTCTCCTCATCTAGGAAATGAGTGTACTAACCGGCCCTGCCTTGTAAGGTCACTCTCCTAAGGTCGAATGGCAGGCAGCCAGAGTCAGACAGACAGACAGACAGACAGACAGAGACAGCACGCCCTAAACCAGCACTGCGGGGCAGTGTTCACGAACCTTGTGGGTGTTCCTTCTTCCCCTTCCAGTAAATATTATACTCTCTGAGCACAGGCCACACCCAGGCCCCGGGTAAGCCAAGACCCTGGCGACGAACAGGTGTCACAGTCCCCTGGGGGACTGCTAAGTGACCAGTGTGTTCAGAGCCATGACCAGGACCACCCAGACATGAGGGCCCAGAGGCCTCAGGGGGGATGTCACCAACGGGAAAAGCCTGAGATGCTTCTGCCGGACAAAGCGGTTTGCAGAACGCCTCTTCCCTGAGGGGGCACCGGTGGGGGAAGGGCGCTCGGAGACGAGGAGTAAGCAGCCCACCGTCGGTCGCCAGGACCAGCCTCCCTCCTCCCGGGGCCACGTTAGGGCTCAGGC